TACATGATGATTAATACAGTGTACAGTACATGATGATTAATACAGTGTACAGTACATGATGATTAATACAGTGTACAGTACATGATGATTAATACAGTGTACAGTACATGATGATTAATACAGTGTACAGTACATGATGATTAATACAGTGTACAGTACATGATGATTAATACAGTGTACAGTACATGATGATTAATACAGTGTACAGTACATGATGATTAATACAGTACAGTACATGATGATTAATACAGTGTACAGTACATGATGATTAATACAGTACAGTACATGATGATTAATACAGTGTACAGTACATGATGATTAATACAGTGTACAGTACATGATGATTAATACAGTGTACAGTACATGATGATTAATACAGTGTACAGTACATGATGATTAATACAGTACAGTACATGATGATTAATACAGTGTACAGTACATGATGATTAATACAGTACAGTACATGATGATTAATACAGTGTACAGTACATGATGATTAATACAGTGTACAGTACATGATGATTAATACAGTGTACAGTACATGATGATTAATACAGTGTACAGTACATGATGATTAATACAGTGTACAGTACATGATGATTAATACAGTGTACAGTACATGATGATTAATACAGTGTACAGTACATGATGATTAATACAGTGTACAGTACATGATGATTAATACAGTGTACAGTACATGATGATTAATACAGTGTACAGTACATATAATGATTGATGTATGTGTACTTATTATGATACTTATTATGATATGATTACTTGCAGTGTTTTCTGGACAGTGTCCACCAGATCAGCTCTAACTTGTTTCAATGAGTCAGTTAATATCAACAGTTCCCTCTCCTTCTCCGCTAGCTGGGACCTTAACCGCTCAACTAACTCACGAAGACTTCTTGAAGGTACTTAAATAAATAAATAAATAAATAAAAATAAATAAATAAATAAATAATGTTTGTTGTACCTTTCTTGCTTGACTCAAGAGCTGCTGATAGTTCTCCATTCATAATCTCAAGTTCTTCCTCCAGTTCTGATATCTGAGAGGATTTGCTTGACAAGGAATTGTGCAACTCTAAAAAAACAGCAAAAAATAAATTAATTAATGAATAAATAAATAAATAAATAAATAAATAAATATGTAAGCATATGTACAATAGCATAAGTACATCAATATGTATCAGAAAATGTAATAAAAATTTGGGGTGATTTTGGAGCCATTTTTTGGAAAAACCATGGGCTATAGCCTTGGGTATTTTTCAGATTTTTGGCATTTTCTTAAAATGGCCATGACTTGAAAAATTGAAGTCGGAATTGACTCAAACTTTCTACACAGCATAAGTACATCAATATGTATCAGAAAATGTAATAAAAATTTGGGGTGATTTTGGAGCCATTTTTTGGAAAAAACCATGGGCTATAATAGCCTTGGGTATTTTTCAAATTTTTGGCATTTTCTTAAAATGGCCATAACTTGAAAAATTGAAGTCGGAATCACCTCAAACTTTCTACACAGCATAAGGACATCAATATGTATCAGAAAATGTAATAAAAATTTGGGGTGATTTCGGAGCCATTTTTTGGAAAAAACCATGGGCTATAGCCTTGGGTATTTTTCAGATTTTTGGTATTTTCTTAAAATGGCCATGACTTGAAAAATTGAAGTCGGAATTGACTCAAACTTTCTACACAGCATAAGGACATCAATATGTATCAGAAAATGTAATAAAAATTTGGGGTGATTTCGGAGCCATTTTTTGGAAAAAACCATGGGCTATAGCCTTGGGTATTTTTCAGATTTTTGGCATTTTCTTAAAATGGCCGTAACTTGAAAAATTGAAGTCGGAATTGACTCAAACTTTCTACACAGCATAAGGACATCAATATGTATCAGAAAATGTAATAAAAATTTGGGGTGATTTCGGAGCCATTTTTTGGAAAAAACCATGGGCTATTATAGCCTTGGGTATTTTTCAGATTTTTGGCATTTTCTTAAAATGGCCATAACTCAAAAAATTGAAGTCGGAATCACCTCAAACTTTCTACACAGCATAAGGACATTAATATGTATCAAAAAATGTAATAAAAATTTGGGGTGATTTCGGAGCCATTTTTTGGAAAAACCATGGGCTATAGCCTTGGGTATTTTTCAAATTTTTGGCATTTTCTTAAAATGGCCGTAACTTGAAAAATTGAAGTCGGAATCCCCTCAAACTTTCTACACAGCATAAGGACATTAATATGTATCAAAAAATGTAATAAAATTTTGGGGTGATTTCAGAGCCATTTTTTGGAAAAAACCATGGGCTATAGCCTTGGGTATTTTTCAAATTTTTGGCATTTTCTTAAAATGGCCGTAACTCAAAAATTGAAGTCGGAATCACCTCAAACTTTCTACACAGAGATATCAATTATGTACCTTTAATTTCTAGTCTGTGCTTGTTTCTCAGTTGACCCAATTCTTTCTTCAGTTCTTCTTCTTTCTTCAAGAACTGCTTCCTGTCATCGCTTCTCTCTCTCTTCTCTCTCTCCAGCTCCTCACTCAATCTTCTGTTAGTGTCTTGTACTTCTTGAGCTAGTTCAGGAGAGTAGCGGTGGATGGAGGAGAGAGGGAGAGGAGGAGGAGGAGGGGACGAGAGAGTAACGAGGGGAGGGGGGGAAAGGGAAGCATCCTCTTGTAGTCTTGAAAGAGCTAAACGTTAATAATAATAATAATCTAACAATATAGTAATTAATAATTACCAGCAGTTTTAGTTCTTAGTTTCTTCTCCAGTAACAGTATTTCTTCTTTATATGATTCTACTGATACATGATACTCTTGTCTGGTGTCTTGCAGCAATTTCTGATATTTATCAACCTGATGCTCCTTCTGAACCAATTGAGCCTATAAACAACAATAAACAACAACAGTAAACAACAACAGTAAACAACAACAGTAAACAATAACAATAAACAACAACAATAAACAACAACAATGCATTCCCTAACTTGTAGTTGTTCAATAGCTTCAGTAGTGAATTCAATGGATCGTGTTGATGATTGTTCCCTGGCCCTTCTCTCTGCCTCCATTCTCCTCTCCAGTGAGCTTATTTGTACATTCAATTGACTGATCTCTCTCTCTTTATCAAGGAGGAGTGTCTCTGTTCTTCTCAGTGATCCATTTACATTGTTATTCTGAACTTGAAGAGACTGTAGCTCTGACCTCAACTGAGATATAGTGGAATGAAGTAGATCAACATCTCCAGTTGAGTGCTGTTAGGAAAGAACATGTACTTATTATTAATGTTGTTGTTGTTGTTGTTGTTGCTGTTGTTTACTGTGGTATCTCCTTGTTTGTTTATCAGTTCTTGTTTTTCTCTCATTAACTGATCCCTCTCCTCCCTCCATTGTCTCTTAGCAACACTGTATTCACTGTATAGCAGACCCTGTCCATCAGTTATTAACAGTTATTAATAGTTATTAACAGTTATTAATAGTTATTAATGGTTATTAGTGGTTTTTACCTGCTGGTGAGTTATTATATCGTATTTATTCTTCAGTTGGTTCATTTCTTGTTCAGTGGCTCTCAGTGATTGCTCTCGTTCCTTCAGCTCATTAATAATCATTAATAACTCCTCCCCCTCCTGCATATTAGCAGTAACATCACCTAATTATGATAAAATAATAAATAAAATAAATAAATAAATAAATAAATACCGATATTACCATCAGTAGATTCATGTCCAGCTAGTCCAGCAGTGCTTGGTCCATTATCATTAGTGTAAACTAGTCCTCCTGTTGAATCAATCTCTTCTCTCTCTCTCACTCTGTCTATCTTGATCCTAGGACTGGTCTGACTAGTTTGACTGGTTCTTCTAGCTCCAGTTTGACTGGTTTTGGCTCTAGTCTTATCCCCAGGGGGTGGTAGACTGGTATCTCGGTTTAGACGAGTTATTTCTTTTTGATAAGCTTCCCTTCTCTGTCTCTCTGTAGCTAGTTCAGTTTGCAGTTTTGAGAGTTGATTCCTCAAATCAGCAACAGTGATGTGACCAGGAGACGAGTTAACAGAAACAGGTAAAGATCTACCAATAAATAAATAAAATAAATAAATAAATAAATAAATAAATAAATAATTAATTAATAATTAATTAATTAATAATTAATATTATAAATCACTTTGTACTCCCTGATGTTGCTTGATCAATTATTTTCTTTCTCAAGGTCAGTTTTTCCTCTTCTAGTCTCTGAACTTCATTAGTTAATGTAACATTGTCTCTCTTTAACTTGTTCAGTTCAGCAAATCTTCTCTCACGAACCTAGCAACAATACACAGTGTACCATTGTTACCAAAATTAGACCAAAAATTAAAAGTAAAGAATTCCTCCATTTTAAGTACACGTACATGTACTACACATTACTTGAGTCAGTTCCGGTTCCGTTCCTGGTTCCAGTCCCAGTTTGTCTCTCAGTGCTTCATTAATCTCATCCAGTGTATCAGTCTCACTCTGCAACCTGTTCACTTCCTGGACCAACCCACTCACCTCACTGCAATAATAATAATAACAACAACAACAACAACAACAACAACAACAACAACAACAACAACAATAATAATAATAATAATAATAATAATAATAATAATAATAATAATAATACATGTACGCCTGCAGTACTTGAACACAATCATCAATATTTAGTACATGTACATTCCTTCAATTCTCATTCCCATACTGCCTCATTCCCATACTGCCTCATTCCCATACTGCCTCATTCCCATACTGCCTCATTCCCATACTGCCTCATTCTGGTACTAACGTGTCTCTGTGTGCCAGTTCCTCTTTCTTTAGTTTTATTTCATTCATTGCTTCCTTCAGTCCAAGGACTCCACTCTCATACTGATCCAGTTTATGTCTCAGCTCAACCAACTCACTGTCTACATCCTCCTTGTCTTTCTCAGACTATCAATAAATAAATAAACAATAATTAATATAATAAACAAACAATCATTAATATAATAAACTACTTGTTGTCTTCTTTCTTGTTCTCTCTTCAGCAGTGCCTCCATTTCCTTCAGTTGGTTCTTCATATCCTGTATCTCTTTGTGTAGCAATGGACTCACCTTCACTGGATCTGACCGACTAAACACAATACACACAACAGGTAACTCATACTGTAGGTAACACACAACACAACAGGTAACTCATACTGTAGGTAACACACAATACACACACAACAGGTAACTCATAAATGTGTACAGTACATTATAGTACATGTGTACATTAATTAGGTAAGTGTACATTAGGTATTATGTATAATGTATACATGCACAATAGAGTGGTATATTGGCAATACTTGATAGCGTCTTTCAGTTGGGCAGAGAGTGAGTCAATGTCGACTGATGCTTGATACAGCTCATCCTGCAGCTCCTGGACTTCAGTCTCCTTCTCCGCCAGCTCCTGTAAGTGGGCGGAGTCACACATTAACGATATATAAAGGTGTACATGTACATGTATTGGGTACTTTGTTTAGTCTCAGTGCTGATCCTTTCTGAGTGTTGATTGTGATCTGCTGGAGCTGATCTTCTAGTGATGATATCTTACTGTTAGCCTCTGAGAGCAACTTTGAACGAGAGGAAAGCTTCGACTAAAATAAATAAATAAATAAATAAATAAATAAATAAATAAATAAAATAATTTGTATATTATTAATTATACTTTAGCTCTCTCGCTGTCTTCTTTCATTTTATCACACAATCTTTGATTAGCGTCAACTTGATCAGCTAATTGATCCTGACACTGATTCAACTGAGATCTCAATGATTCCAATGATCTCTCAAGATCAAAATTAACACGACCAGCCTCAGCCAATGCCTCCTAATAATAATAATGATAATACAAGTACCATAATATACTAACTTATACAGCATTAGTATACTAGGTTATACAGGATTAGTATACTATATTGTACAGTACCTGGTGCTTTTGTAATTTTTGTAACATTGATTCTCTTTCTTCAATCAACTGCTTCATTTCTTTATCACTAGTGGATACTGATCCTTCCAGTGCCTGCTTCTCTCTTAATAACAACTGAATAAATAAATAAATAAATAAATAAATAAAAATAATTAATTTATTGTTCTTCTTACCTCCATCTTGTCCAGCTGTTCAGCCATTTCCCTCCCTTGAAGGCGGAGTCTCTCCCTAAGCTCCTCCTCTATTAATGATTTCTTCCCAGCCTTCCTCTTCTCCCATTCAATCCGATACTGAGTCAGTTCATTATCTTTAGAAGCTAACTCCAACTGAAGCCTCTGGACCTGAGCAGCACTCACTGACAGCTCACTATTCAACTGAAGGAGAAACAAACAACATCAATATGTATCAGAAAATGTAATAAAAATTTGGGGTGATTTCGGAGCCATTTTTTGAAAAAAAACCATGGGCTATAGCCTTGGGTATTTTTCAGAATTTTGGCATTTTCTTAAAATGGCTGTAACTTGAAAAATTGAAGTTGGAATCGACTCAAACTTTCTACACAGCATAAGGACATCAATATGTATCAGAAAATGTAATAAAAATTTGGGGTGATTTTGAGCCATTTCTTGGAAAAAACCATGGGCTATAGTACAGGGTATTTTTCATAGGTGCATTACAATACATTGATACAGTATATCTTCTATTTATACTTACTCGTTGTATTTCAATTTTTTCTGTTGCTACATTAGTCCTGGTCTTCTCCAGTTCAGACTGAAGATCATCTACTACTTTACCCAACAGACTCATTCCCCCGCCCCCAACTCCGCCCACTTTAGCTGTCAATGAATTAATAGTTCCCTGTATTAATGGTAAGGTATTACATCATAGGTAGATGAGTATATTTAACCTCTAGTTCACTGATCTTGTTTCGCTGTTCCATTATTATTTGTTCGAGCTGCTCCCTCTCCCTCCCTTCCTTCTGGTGGCTGGTGTGGTCCCTCTCATACTCAGTTAGTTGCTCCTGGAACTCGGCATTCTTTAACTAAAGGGGGTGACATATGTGTTGCCATGGTAACAACAAAATGGAGTAAACAGAACTATTGTACTACTAAACACATCAACTGTACCCGCACACACACACACACACTAGTATTGGAATAGAGAGAGAGGGAGGGGGAGGGAGGGAGGGACAGAAAGGAAAGATGAAGAGGTGCTGGTGTTGCTTTCCCTTACTCTAATGATGGTCTGGATGTTGTTTATTAGTTTAGTTAGTGTCACTGTGTCCAATTCTTTCCCTCCATTCAGTTTATTATTCAAGAGGAACACGTAAAACAGGTCCACCGTCTCTTCCTCTGATCCTCTTATCTCTGCTTCACTGACAAGAGCTAATCTCTCCCAACCTGATACTCCCTCACTGCTGGAAGACATCTTTAATTAATTAACCACTAACTAGTTAATTAATGAATTATGAATATCATTATAGTACAAATTGTTGAAATCAATTTTTATTATACATGTAATTCTTTCATTTTTCTTTCCTCCTCTTATTCTTAACATTCACTAAATTGTAAAATCCTTTCTTCTTCAACTTCTGTCTCTTCTCTTCCTTCCTGCTAACCTTCTTCTACACACACACACACACACCCAGAGAGAGAGAGAGAGGGAGGGAGAGAGAGAGAGGGTACAGACTGACTGACAGCTGCTGATGTGTGTCCCTTACCTTGACAGTCTCTTCATCACTGCTCCCTCCTCTTCTCTCTAATCTCTTCCTCTTCTTCACAACAACCTCTGAAGTAATGTATATATGATTATTAATAAACAATCAATTAATCAATAAATAATTACCTTTAGCTATTGGTTTCTTCTTCATTGCTCGTGGCATCTCAACAACAGTAACTGCTGACTCATCAATTGTCATTGAATAGAACGGTGCCTTAGCCACACCCCTTTTACCATCAGCACTGCCCCCTTCCCTTCTTTTCCCCATAGCAGTACCCATAGCAGTACCAGTAGCAGTACCTGGTTCATGATCAGTGGAGGAGAGAATAAGACTTTCCTTAAACTCTAAAATAACGAGTAGCATTACCATGACAATGACCACACCTACCTCTCCTCCTCTTGTCATGCTCCGCCCGAACATCAACTATAATAACATCACCAGAACAAGTACCCTGTAAATAGAAATATAGTAATAATAATAATAATTAATAAAAATTAATTAGATACTTTAATCCTCTTTGGTGAGTCACTATCAGTTGAAAGCTGTTCATGATATCTTTTATTCCACCTCTCAACAGGAGGAGGAGGAGGTGAGGGGAGTGTCTCTGTGTCTTGATCCAGTTCCAAGTATTGCCCACAGCAATACACAGCTGGTAAGGATAGGGCACTCCCTCCATTATCATCACTGACCTCTTCCTCCTCCTCCTGATCGGCTAAAGGGACCTCATCAGTACCTAATGTTCCAAGGAATATTGCTGTACATGTACATGTATATTCTTGATTTACTCTGATTGGTATCAGCTTCTGTTTGATCAGTCTCAACTCTTTGATCAGCGGAATCAGTGAATTTACTAACAATATCCTGAGATTCAGTTCCTTCCTCTATAGGCTCATTAACTTTAGGAGCAATAGGAGGTTTCTAAAAATAACTTTGAAAATGACATCATTTAAACTATAAATAACTCACAATAATATTCAATAATGATTTGATCCCATGATGCATTGAGTGCTGTTCCAGTAACGGGTTGTACTGATCTGATAATGTCACATGAGGTCCAGCTGGTGCTGGTCTACCAGTACTGTTACTAACTGAAGGACCTCCTTCATCACTGGCATTAATATTTATAGATACATCTCCTTCATCACTACTGTTACTATTAATAGATTCTGAAGCCACACCTCCTTCTTGATCGTTACTATTAATAGAGGCTGTTTCATTAAACCCCACCTCCTCTAGTCCATCACAGTTAATGTCATAAAGAGTGCAGGCTCTTCTTGATAGATTCATGAGGGATGGCACTAAAGAACTCTCTCCTTCAGTTAGTTCTTCCTCTGCATTTTCAAATACACCCTCGTCTTTATCCTAATTAAAGCCCACTAATAAAACCATTATTGTTATTCAATACCTTGTCCGTTGAAGGTCTTACAAAATACGGCAACTTTCCTCTCTGGAAATCATTCAGAATCATCTTTGACACAGTGTTAATATCAGGATCACCTCCCTAACATCATACATAATTAATTAATATTATTATTATTATTACTTTTAATAATTTTCCACTCTTCTTAGCTACTTTCTCTAGGAACTCAATATGATCGTTCCACTCATAAACTCCGTAGGTTCTCTGGAGGTACTGGGTCTTTACTCTGTCCAGTACTGCCGGAATGTGCTCTGAAGGTTCTTTAATATTCTCTACACGAACCTATGGTGATGTGCATTAAATAGAGTATGTGTGGATTAAATAGAATAACTCACGACTCCTTTAAGTACAATGTCAGTATCAGTGTCATTAGTTGGGTAGACCACGCCCGGACAGTCAATTAAATAAATACGCCTCATTAAAGTGATGTACTGCCACACCTACTTAATATAATGACAGGATCAAGTGCTCATTAATTAGAAATACCTTAGTCTCTCCAGCAATTGGTGCTACATTACAAACTTTCTTAGAACGAAGAGTATTAATGATAGAGCTCTTTCCAACGTTAGGATACCCAATGAAACCAACACTAAATGAAGAGAAATTAATATAAAATATAATATTACTGACCTAATTTGCTTCTTGTCTTTATGAAGCTATAAGAATGATGATGGATGATTAAAATATTCAAAATATGTTAGGTACAAACTTTAGCAAACTGTCTCAAGAGGTTAATGAGAGATCCTTTACCAAAAGAGTTAGTTAAACTGGCGTGAAAGGCAAGCGTAGGGTATTCACTGGAGAGGAGTGCCACCCAGCGGGTCTGTAATGGAGAGATGAAGGAGGAGGAGGAGTAATGTATGACTTACTGTGACCCACGTTGGGACCAGGTCACACTTATTAAGAATGAATATCAGGTGTTTGTGAGGTTTGTCTTTACGGAGGAACTCCTCAATGTGTCTAGACCTGGTACCTTGAGGGTCCCTAGCGTCCAGTACCTAAGAGTGGGTGGAGTCACGGACACACCTTCTCTCCCTCCCACCCTCTCTCTCTCTTACTTGAATAACAACATCTGAAGAATCTATCACCTGTAGTATGTACAGTAACCATGGCAACAGAGGGTAACTCACCTTGTACAGTTCATTCCAGAGTCTCTTTGACTGTCCTTTGCTGAATATCGGTTCCCTATCCTCGTACCTACTGTACAGTCAACCAGGAGTACATGTAGACAGCTCCTACTTGTATTCTGGTTCTTGTGTATCAAGATCTTTATCTTTTTCAGAGTCGTATTGTTCTATTAATAGTAACAGATTCATGTCACATGATGTAGTCACATAGACTGACCTGCACTGGACTGGGCCTGTTCAAGCATGTCCTAGTTAATTAATTAATTTATTTATTTTATTAATAATAATTATTAATTACCTCTAAATTACTGGATTTAAGGTGTGGCTTCTTACGCTGAGCCTTAGGTCCAAAGGTGTTCTCAAAACTCTCAGTATCTAACACATGTACCCGAGCAGTCTATAAACAACAAACAACAACAACAAACAATAACAACAAACAATAACACTGGAGCAAACTTTGCTTTTTTCATTAAGCAGTGATATTGGCAGTCCTGTTTGTCTCATTACAACCTAATAAATAAATAAATAAATAAATATTAATAAAAAGTGGCTTGCCTTATATGGATCTTTCATGACTTTTCCCATTTCTTCTTGAAACTTTTGTAAAGCAGACTGGCCGATGACTCTAGTGTTACCTGTTGATATGATAGTAGAATAAGCTCCTCCCCCTTCCCTCCAACTCTCACCGAACCACTTGCTGTTAGGCTGTACTCTCGCCACTTCTCCTGACTTCACTGATGATTGAAAAGGAGCTGGTTTAACAACATGGCCTTTATGATTCCTAATTAATGCACACCATCAAACACATTCTCATCTCCACCATTGGGTACCTGATAACCTTCCCTCCTTTGGAGTACATCTGAAGACGTTTGATTGTTGACTTGTCTCTGCTCATGTGCTTACCAGTTGATACCCTGTCTGAAGGAAGGGCATTAAATAGAATTATCATAAGCTACCTGGGTTAGTGCTTGAGTTTGATTTCTTTAAAGAATTCCCGCCATTACTGCTCCTTCTGTTCTTACTCCCTCCTCCTCCTTTACTTTTCTTCATTACACGACCCATCCCTCCGTTAGTCTAGAAAAAGAGAAAGAAAGAACATAAATAACTCAAACCTACAATGTAAGGAACTAACCACGTGTTTGCACGTGGGAGTGGTTGCTCCACCTCTCATGAATATTAACTAGGTACATCTATAATAATTAGCCCAACCTTTTCTATTGTAAAATTAATGTGAACATTTTTTGCATACTTTTCAGCTAATTATTTCCATTCTTTTCCACTCCCTGCATTAATTCAATTACCCATTGCCAGCTGCTGCTGTCAGGGCACATGATTCAAATGCCTCCAGCCCATCTCTTTCTATAAAAGTCCTGGAACATGATGTTGATTTGCTGCCTCTAGCCTTAGGAGGTGTAGCATTCCATAGTCCACCCACTGAACTGAAGCCCAGAAAAATAAAGAAAATGAAGGACTTGTCAACTGCTTTGACTAGCAATGGTGTTTCGAGGAGAGGGCCCGCAGTACAGTCTCCTCCTCAACCAGTTACTCCTAGACCAGTCTCCTCCACTACTCAACAGCAGCTGCTCCATCAAAGGACTTCCCGCGGGGCTCATCCCCACTGGTCTCTACCAGCTCTACTCTCAGCATTGGCTGGTGTTGCTGTTTACTTGAATACATTACAGAATGAGTTTTGCTTTGACGACTCCTCTGCAATCCTAACTAACCCTGATCTCCTTCCTAAGACTCCATTGTTCAATCTCTTCCTCAATGATTTCTGGGGTACACCAATGCATCAGGAAGGGAGCCATAAGTCATACCGTCCACTCTGTGTCCTCACCTTTCGTCTAAACTACATGTTACATGGACTGGACCCTATGGGATACCATCTTGTTAATGTCCTCCTTCACGGGGTTGTCTGTTATATCTTTGTTGCCGTTACTTCACTTGTTGTTTTTAAAGATCCAGAAAGGAAGATGTTTCCATTGTTTGTCGCTGGTTTGAGTTTTGCAGTTCATCCAGTCCACACAGAAGCAGTAAGGATGTCTCCTCTTAATCAGTTATTACCCTAATATTGTGTCACATGTTTGTGTCGCTATAGCTGCACGTTCAAATTAACCACCTGCCAAAGAATTTACACTTACTTGTTAAAATGATGTTACATGAAATTGTAAATATTTAATTTATTTCCAACTAGTGTGAATGAAATAACAGTACTTGTACATACAGTATTATTATCTTGGTGTTATGTGTCTTTCTCTCAACAGGTTGCTGGAGTGGTGGGCAGAGCCGAGTGTCTCTCTGCTATATTCTTTCTTCTTACATTCCTAGCTTATAAAAGATCACTCTCTACTAAAGGTGAGACATAATAATAATAATAATAATAATAATAATAATAATGATTAACATAATAATTAGTAACAGTAGCATTTCTATCATTCAATACATTCCACATTGCAGCTGCTACAGTTCTTGTTCAAATTGTTAATTAATTGTTTATTAATTGTTTATTAATTAGGTACTGGTGCTCGGTGGTTCGTATTGAGTCTGTTATTATGTATCTACTCTTTATTGTCCAAAGAACAAGGGATCACTGTCTTATCTGTCTGTATCTGTTATGACTATTTCATTTATAATAATGTAGGCTACATATTGCTACATATTTACCATCACTGTTGTGTCTCTCTACTTTAGAATAATTTAAATTCTTCTCTCTCAATCTTACGTGGTTTTGTTAAAAGTGTCACTCCAATTTGGTTTAATTCTTTTGTCTATCGTTTTATATCGCTGGTCGGGTTCTTTGTAGCACTGATGATGCTAAGAGTGAAAATAATGAAAGCAGAACTACCTGTGTTCACAATGTAAGAGAGAGGGGGAGAGAGAAAGAGAGAGAGAGAGGGGAGAGAGAGGGGGGAGAGGCAGAGAGAGAAAGAGAGAGAGAGAGGGGAGAGAGTGTGTGTGAATGTGGTGCCTCATAGCTAACCATTGTCTAGCCCTTTAACCAGAACAAACCATAATGCAAGGTATACATGTACAGGTACAGGTGCACCATAATAAGTTATTAATTATGATATGATATATGCTTTATGATATGTTATTCAATACTTCAATAATGTGATATTCAATATCAGTATATATTACATTATTGACAGGAGCTGTGTGTGTGTCTATAGTAAATAAATAAGGTTATAATGCTCTAGTAAGATTAAGGATCATCAACTTTTAGTAATACCACACTGTGACATGATTACTCACTCTCCCTCTCTCCCTCTGTAGTCATGACAACCCAGCTGTCAATGAACCCACTCCTTATCGTCAGTTGCACTGGTTGTATTTAATATTTCAAAATGTTTGGCTCCTCCTCTCTCCCTCCTTCCTCTGTGCTGATTGGACAATGGGTACTGTCCCTTTAATTAACTCTCTAATTGATCCAAGGAATCTACTAACAATACTCACATTCACTGGTTTAGCTCATCTTGCCTGGTACAGTGTTACTGGTGATGATGATGATTGCCCCGGCCCCTGGGCTGGTTCTAAATCATATAGACAAGGGGTCCTGTTTGCATTATCTATTCTAGTGTTCCCGTTCCTTCCAGCGTCTAATTTATTGTTTCCAGTTGGTTTTGTGGTAGCCGAGAGGGTCCTCTACATACCAAGCATGGGATACTCAATACTGATAGCTATTGGTTCCTATAGACTCACTTCAGCCTCGTCAAAATTTACAAGATTAGCCACTAAAATTGGACTGGGTTACCTCTTGATATTTCACACAATGAAGACCCTTGACCGCAATAGAGACTGGCGTTCCAACATTGACTTATTCACTTCAGGAATCAAGATAAATACTAACAATGCAAAACTGTACAGCAACTTGGGGCACGAGTACGAACAGCTCATGAATTATTCATATGCTGAGAGTTTATACAGAACAGCCATTGAGATACAAAGTGACGACATTGGGGCCTTCATCAACCTGGGAAGGATTCTTAAAGTACAGGGGAAACTTATTGGAGCAGAAAAGGTTGGAAATACATTGTTTTGTTATCATTATCATCATCATCATCATCATCATTATTATTATTATTATTATTATTATTATTATTATTATTACAGGCTTATAGAAAAGCAATAGAAATGATGCCAAAAGGAAAGAAGGTTAGAGTGGCTCTGACACACATTAATGTCTACTTTAATCTGGCCAACCTAATAAAAGATGATCCATCTCACTATGAAGAAGCTTACAGGCTCTACAGGAAAGCAATATCAATGAAGCCATCATTCCTTGAAGCCTATTTAAACATGGGGGACCTCCTACTCAAGCAAAATAAAACAGTGGAAGCAAAGAACACGTTCTTAAAGGCGGTGGAGTTGAGTCCTGAGTATGCAGATGCTCACTTCAACTTGGGGACTACTTACATCCAGTTAGGGGATGACAGATTGGCTGAGAGTTCTTACAGAAGAGCATTAGCTATTGATCCTGAGCACTCACTGTCTCTCTTTAATTTAGGTAAGGAGGACATTATGAATCAGAAAATATAATACATTTTGGGCCCACTTTTTGAGCAGTTTTAAAATTCATAAAAATATGATTTTTGTTGGAATCATGTGTGACATTGTGTACTGTAGGTATGATATTGTCTGATAGAAAAGATGAAGTTAGTCTATCGGAAGCAATGGAATGGTGAGTCCAATGTATAAATTATAAAGTAATGTTGGGTTAGGTTTACAAGACTGATCAAACTAACTCCAAAAGATGCCAAAGTGTACTTTCAACTGGGAATGATACAGACAGACCTGAGGCATATCTCATCTGCAAAGACCTGGTTCTCTAAAGCAATAGAACTAGTACCAAACTATCGACAGGCTCTGTACAACCTTGGTTTCTTAAACTACCAGGAGAACCGTTACGAGGAAGCAGTGAAGTACCTCATGGCTCTCAGACAGCATCACCCGAACCATGTACGGGGAATGAGAGTACTAGGAGACAGTTTCATTTACCTGAGAAGATTCAAAGAAGCAAAAGAAGTATATCTTCTTTGTTTGAAATATGATCCAAAGCATATTGTAGCAACTCATAATCTAGGTGAGTATAGGCTGCATGTAGCCATTATGAATCCATTTTATTTTTTAAAGGTGTAGCCATGACAGAATTAGGGGATTTCAAGGAAGCCGAGCGACTATTTCAACGGACATTAGAACTAGATCCAAACCATAAAGCAGCCAAGAAACATTTAGAAGGAGCAAGAGCAAAACTAGAACAACTTGAAAGACAATAATAATCCTCCACTGACTTCTCTCCCTCTCTCTCTCTCTCTGTAAAAGTGTAATAATAATAATAATGATATTTTACAAAACAATAGAAGAACAATAATGCAAAATATAACAATAATATCAATAATAATAATATTAATATTAATAATAATAGTACTGCTTCTGTTTGGGTGGGTGTGGTCGATGAGCTAATAATGTTTAACGAACTCTATTTCTCTGATGACCACGAGCAACTTGAATATTTAAATTAATACCGTCCTATTAGTGGAAGAAGGGAGGAGTGAAGTGACTACAGCATATTGTTTTAGTTCATACTTGACTGGGTATTCTTTCATAATCTATTGATCTGCCTCTAAAGTTATGCCAGAGTTTTTTAAAAATATAAAAAAATGTCACCAAAATAAGCAAACAGACGAGCATTGTCATGGTAACTATAATAAACTAAAAACATAATTAATAAATAAAGTAAAAGCTCCTCCCCTTAGCTTACTTTCACAACCAAGTTATTTCGTGTCTCAAATGTACACGTACAGAATGCACACAAGGAATCATCAGCTGAAGGTAAGATCATTTGACAAACACTAAAATATTAATAATAATAATTAATGATATTAATAATAATAATTAATAATGATGATGATGATAATAATAATAATAATAATAATAATAGTAATAATAATAATAATAATAATAATAATAATGATAATAATAATAATAATAATAATAATAATAATAATAATGAATACCATTGTTCTGCATTGCCTCCTAGTTTTAGGAATACGGTTGAGTTCTCATCTTTATGAGGGCAGACACACTTGCACCTGCTGTCCTGAACATTTGGTATCACTTGCAACTAATGGAGAAACACACACTTTACATTACCATAATTATAAAGATTGATGATAAAATTGCATCTTTATTCTGAGCATGCTCAATAACACATGGGTGCACATAAAAGCTATCAATACACTGCATTCATGGAATCACTAATATTAAGCACCATCAATATTCCCACCAGAGCCCCAGAAACCGGCAGTAGCAGATCCTTATCAACTTTTAATAATGATAATATATAGTTTATGGAGTCTCACGTGTAATAAAACCACAAAGAAGAGTCCAAGGAGTATAATGGACAGAAAGAACACGTTACAGATCCACTGGAACAATTCTTTTTTGTCTTGTTTACTCAACCAACTGACAGCCATTTTGTTTTAGACCACACCTACAAACACGAAACAGCTCAATTCCACGTGGTTTTAGTATACTAATGTACATGTCCGTAAAACAATGTCTGTTCTAAAAATAGAAGCACCACTATTGACCATATTACGTGATGCATCTTATGAAGCACGTGGTGTTTCCCGCCATTTTCAAAAGGTGAAGAGAAGAATTGAAGAAGATGAGCTGGCAGGAGACCCCCTCTCTCTCCCTCCCTCTCTTACTACCAGCCTCCATAGGTCAATATCCATTGAACTGTCTATCTTTTTAACGTTTATTTTAGTATCCGCCATTTTATTACCACTCCTTCTCCAGCCCTCCCATTATCCTGGCTGGTGTAAGTTGTTCCTCTATTCTTGTTCTCAAAACTGAAGCTGTTGAAGACTATGCCAGGAAATTTCAAGTTGTATGGTAGTGTGTGTATTATATCATATTATACTGGCTCTATTGTTTTATGTAGGACAACCAGTCAGTATTTCAATGATCCATTCATTCATTATTGGTACGTGTGTATTATTATTATGTACACTCTTATGTTTGTAGGTAATAAAGTCCTGCCCTAATCTTTATACATGTACGTGTACATATGTATGCATTCTAGTGTACTCTTGTATATTTTTAGGATATTACTCAGGATACTATTTCAAGTGTCGTACGTACTTATATTTATGTGTTCAAATATACTTTTGTATATTTTTAGGATATTACTCAGTATATTGTTTCAAGTCTCATCTATTGTACAGTAAATATGTGTTGTTCTTGTATTATTATCTATTTTACAGGTTATATTCATGTACCTGATCCATTCAGGATATTTTAAGTATTGTCCAGTATATGATTATATTATTATTTATTTTACAGGTTCATAAATACACTGAATTAAGTCTTTATTTCATGGTTATGTTTGGGTAACAAATGGAAAAATTTAAAATGTATTCTTGTTTATTTTTAGTATTCTAAAGGTGGAACTGAACTACCCAAGTGTCTGGGTTTTGGTAATATACCAGTCACACTGCATCAGTGAGTACTGTTCAATGACTGATGAAGAAAGAGAACTGAAAGATAAGGGATTTGAATATGGGGACATTTTGTGGGAAGAAGTTGAATCAATTGTACAAGATCGTATGGACACTATTTTGACTTTACTAAAAACACAATAAAATTATGATAAATATTATTTACAATAACTCTTGACGATAATAAGTGATCAAAATCAATCATTAATCAGTATAAATCATTAGTCTGAATCACAGTCTCTCCTCAGGAGTGGTGAGTGGTAATACACTGGTATAGAGCTGGCCGAATATGATCTTTTAGCAGCTGGAGAACCAGCTGGACTGGCCACCATACTCCCTCTCATTTTCTTTTGCTGTTTGATGGCCTCCAGCTGCTTGCTTTTGCTCTTTGAGTAGCCAATGAGGTTAGCTAATCCAAGAAGAGACGATCGTAGGCAAGAGAATATCAAATTAGTAATGTAATTCCGCTGTATTTTACTGATATCAAGCGACTGTACGGCTAACTTTGAGCTCAAGACTGCTCTCCATATCACCCCCAGACAGCCTGAGAGAGGAGAGAGTCTCACGTTCCTCCAAACTAAAGCCAAACACTGAGCAGCTGGAGCTAAGCAGCGAGAGAGAGGGGACAAGAGGAGGAGGAGACTGCTCTTTAATTGTAGGATGGTGTTCCAGAAAGGAAGTGCCAATAAACTGCTAAAGACAGTCAGTGGTGACAGTAGTGCAGTCCAGTAGTGAGTCAAACGGGACAATAGTCTATCCATATGCTCCATCACTTCTTTGATGTGTTCTCTCAGTAGTTCAACTATTGGTTCAAGAGCAATGTGTATGAACTGAACATGTCTGTAGAGCTGCCATGAAGCCCAGACTACACTGAACAAAGAGTAACAGAGGATCATTATTTGAAGTATCTTCCTGAATCTTTTTGAGTATATCCACCAGGGGACATAGAGTGACCACCATGGCAACGTGTCAAGGAATGTCAATGGAGGACTGTCACCTCCTCCAGCTGCTGAGGTGTCACTCTTACCGCCAATAGAGGAGGAGAGAGAGGGAGACCGTTGAAGATAATAATAAGGATTATTATTCTTATCACTAGAGTTTTCTCCTTTACCATCCAAAAAAGAAAAGGATTTATCAGATTTTAGAAACAACAGTATGTCCCTTAAATGTCCTGTCTCATGTACAGAAGCTATAACAATCACTTTACGACATTTAATGATGGACGATTCCATAGAGTAAGTGTCTTTATTATCACTTCTGGTCAGGAGGTTAGGTTCAAATATGGAGTCTGTGTCTAATTCAAGCTGTAGACGTGTCATCATACCCTCTAGTGATCCAGGTATCTCATTAATGAGTTCCAGTCTTGCTGCAGTGACTCCTTTCACTCTAACGGTTCCTGGTACAGCACCAGGTGATCTTTTCCCGCCCCCTACCCCTGGTATATCACTCCTTATCACCAGATCTGAGGTGTTCATTTCATAGAGCAGCTCTAAATCAGAGAGACTCCCGTCAGGTACTGCCTGGTACCTGATACGACCCATCTCCACCCTCTCCAGTGGTACACGGAGTGGTATTACCTGTCCTGCAGTTAGGAACTCGTCAGGTACTGAATAATCACCATCTTCTTGGCCTCCATACATTGTTGATTTTTGACCCTGCCCACTTGTTGTTCGAGCCACGCCCAAATCCATGCTGTTTGCTGTGCTTGCAAATGGCAAAGAGAATGCTACCATTGCTAGCTCTATCATTGCCTCTCCTCCTCCTCCAGCCATCAGAGGCTGCAGTAACTGGTGAATGCAACTCTTATGAGAGAGAGAAGGTCAATGAAGGATACTACGAGTGCCTCCACACTGATCCTAGGACAGGACTCTCCTACCTTGGAGTGGGGTTCAACCTCTACGGGTATGAGGCTGATACACAACTCGGTAAAGTTGGTGCTAATTATATTAATATAATGAATGGAACAGAGTGTTTGAATGATACACAAATCAAAGAACTATTCAAACTATCAATGGCTGACGCTTTAGAATGTGCTTCAAACTTTCTCTACAAAAGCTGGTCCCCCCTCACTCTCAATGCCAAGTCTGCTATTATAGACATGGCATTTGACTACCATTACATTGGCTGCTATCCTGTTTTTCCAAGCAGAGGGTTGCAGGACTTTGTTAATTTGAGGTCAGCATTGTCTGAGAAGCCTCCTAATTACAATAAAGCTGGTTCTATACTGAAGGACTCAACTTGGTGTGGTCAAGAGCCAAAGAGATGCCAAGAAGCTATTGACTGTATTACAATCAAAGAACAAACAATGATTAATTAATTAATGCTGAATAATGTGGCTGATATTACCTATCCTTTCAAACAATTAGTAATATTCTGAGCTAACGTTATAGCCAGTTTATTTTATTTTTAATGAGTGGGCGAGTGGGAGATAGAAACAACAAGAGGGACCATTGCCAGTAGGAGTAAGATAACTTCTTGTTTGAGCCACGCCCAAATCCATGCTGTTTGCTGTGCTTGCAAATAACAAAGAGAAATGCTACCATTGCTAACTTTATCATTGTATCTATTCCTCCTCCTCCAGCCATCAGAGGCTGCAGTAACTGGTGAATGCAACTCTTATGAGAGAGAGAAGGTCAATGAAGGATACTACGAGTGCCTCCACACTGACCCCAGGACAGGACTCTTCTACCTTGGAGTGGGGTTCAACCTCTACGGGTATGAAGCTTACACTCAACTCGGTAAAGTTGGTGCTAATTATACGAAAGTAATTAATGGAACGGAGTGTTTGAATGATACACAAATCAAGGAACTATTCAAACTATCAATGGCTGACGCTTTAGAATGTGCTTCAGGCTTTCTCTACAAAAGCTGGTCCCCCCTCACCCTCAACGCCAAGTCTGCTATTATAGACATGGCTTTCAACTACCATTACATTGGCTGTACCAATTTTCCAAGCAGAGGGTTGCAGGACTTTGTTAATTTGAGGTCAGCATTGTCCGAGAAGCCTCCTAATTACGATAAAGCTGGTTCTATACTGAAGGACTCAACTTGGTGTGGTCAAGAACCAAAGAGATGCCAAGAAGCTATTGACTGTATTACAATCAAAGAACAAACAATAATTAATTAATTAATGCTGAATAATGTGGCTGATATTATGTGTGTAGACCCATCTTTTCATATAATTAATAATGTCGTGTACTTAGGTGCAGTATCGACCAAAGCACAGCTTGCTTGCACGCAATAACAGTGAACTTTAGTAAAATTATCTCTTCTCTTAAAAAACACGTGCAAATCAAACAATAATATAATAAAAAGGACAATAGAGCCGGCCAGCGCAGGGCCCAATAATGATAATCATTGATCAATAATAAATTAGAAGTGTTAATGAATATATGTATGTGAATACATAACAAATAATATTCTGCCAGTTTATTTTATTTTTAATGAGTGAGTGAGTGCAAGATAGAAACAACAAGAGGGTCCATTGCCAGTAGGAGTAAGATAACATCATAACAAGCTAGTGTATA